TTAAAAATTAAAAATTGAAAATTGAAAATTGAAAATTGAAAATTGAAAATTAAAAATTGAAAATTAAAAATTGAAAATTGAAAATTAAAAATTAAAAATTAAAAATTAAAAATTAAAAATTAAAAATTAAAAATTGAAAATTGAAAATTGAAAAATTGAAAAATACAAATTAAAAATTTAAAAATTACAAATTACAAATTACAATTTACAAATTACAAATTATTTGATCCGAAAAAAATATTTCGGTTTTTAGCGTAAAATCGAAATTTTTCGGATTTTAATTATTAATATGAACTCGTTTATTTGTTTGTCAAGAATTATCATTCTGCCTCTTTGAAAGAAATATTTTTGTTAGGATCAATTACAATCGATCGTATTTTTTATACATAGAAGACGAATTAAATTAAAAAAACAATAAAAAAAAGGTATATGGTTTTATAACAATATTATATGGTTTAACTTGGCCTATAACACCTAATCATCTATATAAGAGAAAAAAATCTGATTTACATAAGAGAATTATAGATTTCCTCCAAATTTGATTCAACTGGAGATTCATTGACAAACATTAGTGTTTTAGGATTACCGCAAAATCACTCATCAATATTGTTAGCTTGTGATTTCTATATGGAATATGTTGGTTTCTAGAAGATTAAGCACTGATAACATCTCCCAATGTTAAAAGTGATTTATTGATACTTTGAATTTCTTTGGATTTGGATTCGCGGATATTTACAGATTCGAATGAAGATTTTTAGAGTTTGAATTGTTTGATAAAGTATGAATGAAATGAACAATACTTAAAAGAGAGAGTTCAAAATGGTTTCTAAAATAAAAGAGGACAAAAGTCCCATGTTCGAACTTAAATCTGTACAAAGATGATTGTCTAACATATATACACCTATCACATGGTGTGCAACGGCTAATAGACTAGGAGAATATGGAAATAAATCAATTACAAATGCTTAGAAACATGGAAGGAAAGTAGTGTGATTGTGCAGATTATTCGGTTTGCATTCTCGGTTTGGTTGCTCAATCTTCCTTGTACTTTTATTCCTCAACAACGAGTACCCTAAAATCGAGTATCCACAGATACCCGATTTTCGAGTATTTTTTATCACCCCCACTTACATCCTATATATACACACATATATTGAAAAGTAGTTGCAGCAGACTCAACAAATTTATTCGAGCTACTGTACATCTGTTGGAACCTGAGGTAACAAGAAGTTACTGAACATCGTAGAGGTTTTGGATGCCTAGATGTTAAATCTACGATTATAGGCCTTTGATGGTTGAGGCACATAGTGCCATAGTTAAACTTTTGTGGGTTTACAATAATGCATCGATGAAGCCATTAACAGGCCACAAGCAATATATAACAACAATTGATCTATAGACAGGCTGCAATTAACGAAGTACTTATGGGCGTCAGATACTCTACCTGCTTGTGGAAGCAACAATGTTTACATTTATATGCAATGCCGTTGATAATTTCCTCGTTACATCTTCAATTAGCTCCCAAAAACAAAGTTTATGATCCTGATGCATTTTCTTGTTTTGACTTACTGGACATATCAAGTTAATGTATAAACGGCATCTTCTAACTTGCTGAGTCTGGACTGTGGCTGTGGCTGTGCTACGCTCCGTTTGGAGGAAAAAGAATTGCAGTAGAAAAGAAAAAGCCTTCTCGGACACATTTTCAGTGATCAAAAGACTCGTACAGTTGTACGGGTTTAGACGTTAAGGCCGTCGAAGCCACATTGCTTGGACGTGACCGCCTGCTTCCTGGGACTTATTATGATTGCGCAATTAACAGACACCTGCATCATTGCCCGTCCTATTAGAACAATCAATGAAACAGCATCATTCTTCTATCTCTTTCTCACAAAAAAAGACGTGACACTTCAAAAAAACAATTGCTTGAAAATATAGAAACGACCTTCTATTTTGTTTTTGTTTTTTAAAAAAAATAGAGAACTGACTTCAAACGCACAAGGCCCCATGTGCTTACGACCAAGGAAAGAAGCCTCCTGCATCTTTCCCTTTATAATCCACATTCAAATCACGCCATCCAGGCGGATCGGTGCAAACGATGATGGTGGAAAATATGTTAAAAGTGCAAGAGAAGCAAAGGCAAAACTCATAGTGGGGACAGAGTCTAGTGGTGGGTCGGTGCCTCCTCTTCTAAAGAATCTCTCTTCACATAAAAAGTCAGCATTTCCTGCCTTTCCCTTTTTCACCCACGCTTTTTACAATTCGTCGTAACGCTTAGAGCCAAAGATTTTTTTTTTCTAAACAAGGGGGCATAATTATTAAAAAAGAAAACAGCTTCCAGCGACTAAATCATCGTAATCTCAATTCTCATTCCAATTAAGATATTCTAGGAGTAGGAAAGAGACCTCAAATCGAATTTCAGTTCAATTGTAATAATACTAAAATTGCACTTGTTCAAGAGAGAAAATGAACCTGAACGCCTGGGGAATCGAAGTCCATGACTCGAATCTTAGCGCCAACAACCCCGAGGACGTTGAGCTCCACTCTGTCGTTCAACGAAGCGTCTCTGATGAGATCGGCAGCGTTGGCTTGCATCAGATTCACTCTATCAACGGAGATTGTGGCCTCCACATTCCTTGTGCTGTGGGCTTCCTGGTAGAACCCAGGCACGGTGGCCCTCCCCAGAGGAATACCTCTATACATCACTGTGAAACTCGATTCACCGTACTTGATCCCCACCTTATTAGGATTGACGGCAGTAAAAAGCATGCGAATGGTGAGGGAGAGGGATGCGGAGGAGGAAGCTGGATCCAGGGAGCTAGGGTTTGGATTCGGCGATGAAATCCCCATGTACTGCACTCCCACTTGCTGCAGATCGAACTGCGGCTTCTTCGGCTTCACGGCCAGTATTATAATGAGCACTACTGCCAGCACAAGTAACACCAGGAACGACAAAAGCAGGAAGAGACAACAGCAGCATCCCCTCAGAGACGCCGACCTACTCCTGTAGTAAGGCTGATGGTGTAGACGACCTGACTGAGACAGTGGCGGCGGACGGAGACCGAGGTCGCCGTTGGCTCCGCCTCTCAAAGACGAAGATGGTGGCATAGCTCTATCTCGCTCTTTAATGGCGGTGAAAATGGGAGGGGGAGGGGGAGAGAGAGAGACTCCAGACTCCACCGGACTACGCTGATTATTATTCAATAATAAGGGAGGGCCTTGCATATGCCCATTAATATGTCCTTTCAAAGCTCCCGTGTCCTCTTACACACGATTTAATTTATTTATTCAAGCTAAAAGACACCAACACCAAAAGTAATATATCTACAGCACATGATATATCATTTTGCCTGGCAAAAAGAACCACTTCCCCAGCAGGAAAATCTCTCCTATCATAAGCATCGCACCAAAATAGCTTCTCAGTCCTCTCAGTACACCATACAAGCATCAGATATATATATATATATATATATATATATATATATATATAACAAGAGTAAAAGCAGAAAGAAGAAACCAGAGACTGAAACTAGTGCTCATTAGAAGATTGTTCAGCGTCATTGCCATTGCCGCCACCGCCCCAGTCTCTGCATCGGCTGTATCATCCTTTGCCACCACCACATCCGCCCCTTGGAGGTTCCTATCGCCAGCATCTCCAAGTACATCATCCATCATCATTTCATCCTCCATATCATCTTCCTCATCTTCGTTGTTGTTTTCATCTCCTGCTCCAGGAATCTTCCTTTTCTTCAGCCCATTCTTCATCCTATGAGTCTCTAATTCCTCATCCATTGTTTCCTGCAAATTCATAGCTTTGCTGTTCGCCTTCCTCACGTTCTGCCACCTCTCCAGCTCCTTCTCTACATTAGCCAGGTATTGCTCTTCTATCTCCTTTTGATACTGATTCAGTTCTTCTCGCCTTGCAGCCTTCCATTCCAAGAATGCCTGTGCCCAGATTTAATTAGTAACATATCCTCTTCTAGGTAAGCTCCACGCATCACCAAGTCTGTTGTCCATACAACAATAGGTCTCATTCTCATTTCGGTAAAGACCATTCAGATATGAATATATATATAGCCCCTGAAAACCTTTCAATTCAATGCAGCTTCGCACAGGAAATTCTCTAATACTCTTTCTAGAGAGTAGAGAGCAAGAAGAACAGCTCAGGGATTACAAAAATATGAATAACAGCTCAAAGCTAGTAATTAACAGGATATAAACTGGGCAAAACATAAGTAAGCTGCGACCATTGGGAACTATTGTGTGCTTCCATAACATAGATGCCAATCTAAACTTCACAAAATAAGGGCTTATGGTATACCTGCTCCTTCTGTTGCTCCAACATAGTGCCACCTTCTTCCAGTGGCTTTGCCAGCATATAGTATATTGGTGGCTCTGCTTTAGTCCTGAAGATGCATTCCACAAGCAATAAAAAAAATTAAGTAGAAACGCTAAACTATATAAAAAAAGGAGGGATTTCTGCCAAGGGACACATCACAAAACACTCATTTGCCCAGTTCGTTCAACATTAGTATGTAAATGGAAACTTATCTTTGCCTCTATAAAACTGTGAATATGCACACTTTGGACTGAAATTAAAAATAACCTGCAAATTGTAATCATATCAAGCTCATTAGTATGAATGGTTACAAGGATATTTAATGGAAATAGCATCCATTGCAAATGACAACACCCAACACTACCTTATAAAACTGCCAAGTTTCTTTTGGTGTTTAGTCCACTGAAGGAAAAGCAGTTCCAATTTCTTCTGTTCTGCTTTGGCAGCAACACGAGCTCGAAGAGTCTGATGACAGCAAGGAAATAAATGCATATATGAGAACATCACTACCAAATTTATGGAATAGTAAGCAAGATAAATAAAAAAATAGCTAGCTGCTTACAAGATCTCGCCTCCTCCTTTCAGCAATGTGTTCACGCTCTTGTTGCCTCAGTCTTTCACCTTCTTCACGTGCCTTTTGCTCAGCCTAAATAAAAAGAAAGAATATTGCAATAACACTGTTTACACTTTGTAGAACGAAAAAAAAATAAGCTAGCCAGACAGAGTGTTTCCATTTTGGGACAGGGCACTACTTCTGCTTAACATCAAATCATGAGAAAAACACGATTTCGAGGGATACATAACCTATGTTCGAAAGCTTGGATGTTAATCAGAAATCTAGATGTCCTCTTCCAAGTCAGTCACTAAGACAATTCTTCAGTAAAAATCTTTCTTGAATATTGAAGCCAAAAGACTCTAATTGATATACAATAATCTCTAAATCATTATCATCTACAGCTCTATGATGTTGGAAAAGGCTCAAACGAAGCAACAGTGTCGAGTATTGAATAAGATAAGCTTACTCTTTGCATGGCAGTGGATCGCCGTGCAAAGGCATCTGTTCCAGAAAGCTGTTTGTCTTCGTTTCTGAACTTCTGTGGAAGCAACATGCAAACATATGGGAAAGAATGCAATTAGCTGAACAGGAATCAACACATCTAACATCAATCTAGTTAATCCATTTGAGACTACAGCACATACCTCCAAAGTCCCTAAGAGTTGGCCCAGCATTCTTCTATTCCTATTAACCAAACTTGGATCCTCATTCTTAGGCAAAATCCTTGGTGCAGGCTCCGGCAAAGTGAGAGCTTCAGGTTCCTAATGCAAGGAAAGCCAGAAAGCGTGGATATGCAATTCCAAATCAATGCTTTGCAGGAGGAGTATGACAAATTACCTTCTTAGCCATTCTTTGATTGGTATCTCCTTGAAACCAAGCACCACGGTGTTGGCTGGATGACTTATTCCCACTTTGGTCAGAGTTTAGATTTTCAGCAGCTCTAAACTGTTTTTCCCTGAGATCTTCTCCAGTGTCTCCATCCCTACCTACCTCACCACCCCCGACCTGAGTCCCAATCAGAGACAACGGTAAGGCTGAGGAAAAACTTACTGTTAAGAGTCTATTAACAGGAGAAGCAAGACTACTCCGAAGTTCACAATGGGCACAAACTGCATTATATATTTCTCCAAAAAATGGGGATTTTTGGAAGAAAATAGTTAAAAATGAACAGATTAAGAAAGGCTAGATTTGATAACCGTAACTTGAGCAGCAGAAGAAATACTTAAACCTCCGACACAAGCCCACACACTGACCAAATGCAGAAGCAGCTATTACCTTGACAACGGCGGATGACAATCTACGTTTGGCAGGAGGCTCATCTTCCATGTCGTTCCTATCCGCCTTCACAACGCAAACCCGACAATCTATCAACATTTGTTCTTTGGGAATAGGAAATAAGGGGAAAAAGGGGTAAGTACAGCGCGAAGAAAGCCTCTGTGGCGAGCTCCATTGGAAGCAAAATTCCGAGGTGCAGCACCGGTAAGGCCTCCCCTCCGAAGTCCCCGAGGGTCTCGAAGCCTCTCTGTTATCTGTTCACAAAAGAGGCAAGCGTCAAAATACTTTAGATACATTGAAGAACGCAACGAATAACTAAAAGAGAGAGACTGCACCTCTCGCTGCTGACGGTGAAGCTCATCGATCTCACGCTGGAGCTCTTCGGCGGTTTTCTCCATCCTCGCTTCTAGTTCTACTGCTCAAAATCTCCGTCTTCCGAAGAAAACCCTTACCATCCCAATGGAGGGGTTTTCTTATGGGCTTTTTAAACGAACAAGATTTATAGCTTGAGGCCCATTCAGACTTTATATGGGTCCATACCCATTATGTGTCCAATGAACCGACCGAGCCCTTTTCTTATTAACGTCTCAAACTCTGAATACCAAAACCCTTTACCCTCCCCTTAGGTCGTTCTTATCAAGTGCTATTAGAATAGTCCGTTCCTCGAGCATGCGATGGTGATGGCTGGAGGAGAGAAAGAGAAAGGTCCGAGTACTAACTATACCGGATCATGAAGAATATTACGAGATATATCAATCTTATCAAATCCGGAAAATATATATTCTTTTTTAATTTTTTTTCTTCATAAAAATGATGGTTGATAATGAGAGTGAAGATGAAGATGATGATATATCGATCTAGTGGTAATATCATTTCGAGTTTTTTTAAGAATAAGAGAGTCATTTTGTTTGTTTTTTTTTCTCTCATAATCCCACATGTTTCTGAAGATTATTCGCATAACTGCCAATCATTTTATTCTTGCCAAAAAATTTGTTGTCATTAAACGCTTTCGCATAGTTGCCTTTCAATCTCGGATGAATCAGAGTTATTCCCGAGACTTCTTTCTGCACCGCGATTGTCATCCTTTTTTTTGTTATCATCAAACGATTCTTTTGTGCGTGGTGCCAAAGTTGCAACTCAGTCGTTTGTTTGATTTTTTTTAGTTATGTCTTCTAAGACACAAGTTCGCAAGGTGATGTGGTTCAAGCGGTATGCGTGTGATCTTCTACGCTCCAACTTGAAGGGGGATGTTGAGATATACCGGATCTTGAAGAATATTACGAGATATATCAATCTTATCAAATCCAGAAAATATATATTTAAAAATATTTATTATTTTATTTAGTTTACTTATTCAATGTAAGACTATCATCTATTTATATGTTATTCTGATTATGAATAAAGATATCATTCCGCAAATTTCTACACTAACCACCAACTTCATGGATGTGGTTATCTAAAAAGAGTGGACTGTTAGGATTTACGAGCCTGTTAAGATTAAGGATGGTTGGTTTGCATAAAAGTGTTGTTTGTGATTAGGAGGAAGATCTAGATAAAGACAAGCTGTTGGAAGCTATGATCAATTGAGCATTCGGTTGCGGAGCTATTACGATCAATTGAGGTGGTTGTCAGGAAGAAGGCACTGGGACAGAGGAAAGGTTCCGGTTTATTCTTGTTTGAGCAAATCGGAGGTGATATTGAGGTTTGAGTTGAGGATTTTGGAGGACGGTTCAGTGGGTCAAGTGAAACAGGGCGTTTCACGGAGAGGCGTAATGAAGATTTGTCCCCCCGGATCGTTGCTTGTTACATGTTTAGAAGCCTGAGGGTTCTCTACAGTTTTCTCTTCACCATTTTCCATTTCTCTATCAATCTTCTTGTTCAGTATGGGAAAAGCTCTCGAGGTATGTGAGAGAACTCAATGTACAAACAAAAAGCATTATAAAAACTACCCTTATTTTGTTTCACTGTCCATCCCTCACTTTTTGGAAGAAAAAAAAATAAGTTTAGACAATAATTTTATAAATATGTTTTCTCTATTATATCTTTATGCATTCTTTTTAATTCATTGATTTGTAATTCTCTCTTCACACGTTTTTCTCTCCTCGCATTTTTCTCTCTTCATTTTTCTCTTTCATCGCGTTTCTCTTTCTTCATGTTTCTCTCTCCTCGTATATTGGTCACACTGGTCATATCATACTAGTCACACTGGTCACATCGTTCAAGAAAATATCCATACTAGTCACTTTAATCACAATTCTATATTAGTCACACGGTTCTCATTAATCCTACATGTGTCTTACGAATTTATTATTTATAGACATAATGAAAATAGGTGATAACTGGATGGAAATGAGACGAATTTAGTAGACTATGCAAATGATATTCGATGTGCAATGCAAAATGCAAGGATAATGCTCACCAATGTGTACACTGTAAAAAGATATAATTTTACTTTATAAGAACGTTTCATAGGCGAATAAAACAATAAATTTATGAACACAAAGTTACATTGGTCCAAAGTATTTCTAAAACACTACTATCACTTATAAGATTCGTTTTGTGATCATAGATTTCGATCGGATAATACTCATATACTTTCGACCGCGATTTCTTTTCCGAACCTTTTCTTTAGTCGTACAATACGCTCTGAAAGTGTTGAATTATCGAAATTTGCTCAGTGTGATCAGTGTGACCCGTGTGACTACGGGACATGTATACGTGTGAAAAAACTGGTTCAATTCATCTGTTGAGAGCTAAAATAAGGTCTATATACTTTAAAACGATATAATTTTACTTTATCAGAACGTTTTAGAGGCAGATAAAACAACTAAATTGACATTCTGTGATGGCGATCAAGGTGTTGCTCTTTCACAATTAGGAAAATAGGGAATGCTCTTGAATTTTCATCAGACGAAATCACCCATCTAACCTATATGCAGTTGATTCTTTGAAGGATGTTGTACTCTACCTGTTGTAATTTTCAATAATTGCAGGGCAGATGAGGAGGTTGTTGACAGAAGAAGTCCCTTGAGGAATTTTGTAAGCCAAAATGTGTGAAGTCTCTACTTGAATATCAGGTGAAGAGCTCCGCAATTGCAATTCGGTCACTGGATGTAACCATTGTAGTTGGATGAAATACTTTCATTAAATGCATTCCGAGATGCCAATCCTTTGAAATCTATTATCTACCCCCAATACCTCCTTTGCAGGAGGTTCGACTCGAACATCATGTTTTCTTCCTTTATTGCAGGCATGTGTTAAGAGGATCCAAGGTGACGAGACGGGTCACAAACATTGCACTTGACAGTACTTTGATTACCGGCATTGTGTCGACAAATGTGTAAGTCATGAATCATTGGGAGACTTGATATGATTGTCTACGTGTAAATGATCATACTGAATTCTTTTTATCTGATCTCCAGGTTGCACCTAAGCTATTTGCAAAGCTAAAATGACTGTGACAAAGGTATGGCATTGGCTTGAGTTTGTCTTCGTTTGCAAGGTTTATAAATGCAGAACTTGCTGAAACCGAGGGTTACTACTTGGTTTTGTGTCAATAATATTTTGCTCATTCTTTTTTGTTGCCGTTGGTGGGAAACCTATGGAGTTTGTGCTAACACTGATATATGTAATAAAAGAGAGATCGGATTCTATTTGTCTTGATCTGAACCAATTATCAAACAGGAGTTCGTGTACGTCCGTATCAGTACCTCTTTGCCCTTCAAAGATAACCGGGTATCCAAGCTAGATAGCCAAACGACCGTTATCATTTTTATTTTGCAGAGTTTGAAGTTTCGATGAAAACACTACCGAATTCGTAGGTTTTGGTCAAATTTGAAGTTTTTATAGAATTTTTTGCATTTCGAATATTTCTGTGTGATTTAACCTAAAATTTTTAAATGTTGTAAACAGAACGAGCTCATAAAAAAATCTTGAAGTAAAGTTATTTCACTGAATTCTAACAATCAGTTTACCTCCCTAAACCTTTTGTAATCGCGCGGACCGTATGGCATTATCAAGGAGGTAGGGACCCTTGAACATGTATTATTTGGGATGGAGTGGAACGACGTGTATTCGCAATGACACGGTGAGTTCTATGATAAATAAATAAAAAGCAGAAGAGCGAGCAATACCAGCAATTAATTTGGCAAAAGACAAGATTGTGGCGTGTGGAATTAACCCATAAACACACACTCTCTGTATTGTTTATTGAAAAGGAGAAGAAAGTGGGTGGTCTCGTCATATTAAGCACTCCAGATTAAAGAGACGTCGAGGACCCTCCTTATACTCCGTTCACATAAATCTTCTTCTAGCTTCGTACTTGTGGTAAATAGGCAATGACTACAAGCACTTCGATTTGTTCAATGCAGTCGATCGAGATCGGCAGTAGCAAAGGTTGTTTAGGAGGAAAGCGTTCATCTAAAAATATTTAGACGATCGGAAATACAATTCAGAATTCAAAAAATAACTTTTTTTTTACTCCATCTATTGTTTATATGATGTCTATACGGTGACCATCAAGTTTATAGGAAAACAATAGGTTATAACGTGATCAGGAAGCTGCTTCCATATTAATTGGATCACATTGAACGATGACGCGATTGTTCTCTTTTTCGTCACTTCATTAAACCGGGAACTATAATTCATGCAAAAACAATTCATAAGATTGGGTCCGTCCAACTGTTATTTCCACTCAAGTGGTGGTCTGAAGTGTCCAGCTTCACCATCTCCACCATCAGTCTATGTTTTGCCTTGACGTATATTTTTGTCAGGAAACGCAGATAAAGAAACGGTGCGGTGCCTATAAAAGGAGTGTGCCCTCCACACACCCTTATCATCCATCCACAAACAAATTAAATACATTTAAAAAAACTCATCAAATAACAAATTAATGGCTGCTCCTGCTTCCGAGGACGTCCAAATTTCAATAAGGAATGAGAACAAAGAAGAGAAAGCCAAGTACAGGCAGAGAGCACAGTGGTTGAGAGCGGCAGTGCTTGGAGCCAACGACGGGTTGGTGTCAGTAGCATCACTGATGATGGGAGTTGGGTCAGTCAAACAAGACGTCAAAGCAATGTTGCTCGCTGGTTTTGCTGGTCTTGTGGCCGGAGCCTGCAGTATGGCCATTGGAGAGTTTGTGTCTGTCTGCACCCAGAGGGATATACAGGCTGCCCATATCAAGAGAGAAGAGGCCGCTCCAAAGACACAGGTTTTTTTATTTCGTAATATTATTGAAGACTCTCTCTCTCTCTCTCACTCTCTCTGTTATATGTGTGTGTGTGTATATATGTTGAGGCAGGGAGAGGCAAATGAAGAAGAAGAAGAGGAATTGCCCAACCCAGGACAGGCCGCGATTGCTTCAGCACTTGCTTTTTCAGTAGGAGCAGCTGCTCCGTTGCTGGCCGCAGTGTTCATAGACAACCACAAGATAAGACTGATGGTGGTGGCAGTGGTCGCCACTTCGGCTCTCATGGTGTTCGGAGGGTTAGGTGCCTTGCTCGGCAAGACTCCCTTGCTTAAGTCCACTGTTCGAGTTGTGTTTGGTGGATGGTTAGCTATGGCTCTCACTTTTGGTCTCACCAAATTGATCGGCTCTGGTGCCATGCAGATTTAGTATATATTAACGTTGTCTCTCTATAACAATAATATGTCGTGGTCTTTTATATATTTGCAAGGACGTTGTAATATTTAGCCTTCGAATGAATGTAGCTGCTTTGCAGTCTTGGTCATGCTCTTTGTGGGTTCAATTGTGTATGTGTTGGTTTTTGGTTCAAGTCTTTTGTTGATTATTGGTCGAAGTGGCTCAAGTTTGGAACGTGGATTTTCTGCAGTTATGTGACGGTTTAAAAGCTGCAGTTTATGAAAGTTTTATTTGTTTTTTTTTGCCGGTTACTAATTGTGTTATAAATATATGTATTAAGGGTTATGTTTATTATTGCACACTTGGGTGTACGTTATGTTGTGTTCAATATGTCTGTGGAAATAAATTGTGAGTTTCGATTTAAGAAAGTTATCAGTATGCAACACGATTGATTGCAACAAATGTGTTGGTGTGTATCACCTTTGCATCCGAATATGGTAAGCTTCCATCCTCGCGTTCTTAGAAAAAGCATTCTCAGTTCCGGACACTGCTACTCTCGCTTTAGATTCCAAACAAAAACGCAAAGGACACTCCTTTTCTTCTGGGACATTCTTCAATTTTTGTTATAAAAAAAAGACAGTCAACACATAAGCAGAGAGGGTGCAACAGCCCCTGTAGCAGAATGTATGCATATATATATCTTCATAACACCATCAAAGATAATTGTACGAAACCCAAAAAATGTAAAAACTTGTCAGCCTGGGCTATTTTCACGGATAAACTTGAAGTATAATCAGACCAGAGTTCGCTGAAATCCTGTAACTTTAGCAAAATCAATAACAAGACCCTCAAATCAGAAAGCCTGGGCAGATACTTGACTTTTCATCCTTAACCCTCAACATCGCAAACCCATCATGATCTGATCTTTGCCCTTCTCACTCTCCGTTACCATCTCCTCATCTACTCATCTCCTCATCTCCCCATCTAATCGTGTGACACAACAATCTCTTAAGATCACTCTTTTACACAGAGATTCCATTGATTCATCAGGGGAACTTAAAAAAAGAAAAAGGAAAGAAGGCTTATTCTCATACTTTTAATTTTATGACACATGCAACTTCCCCAGCGTGTATAATACCATCAAAAGACACCATCTGTGCTTTTAAAAAGAGTTATTACCCGTTCATATCTCAAATTTCAACAAGACCTTCCTCAATAACGGGCACTCCCACAAAAGACAATCAAACAATCTATCAACACCAACAAGTTCATAGCCACAGTTTATTACTCGCAAGACATGACTCACTGCCTGTAGTAACCGCCTTGGTGAGGTGGTGGGTATGGGCTCTGGACAGTATAAGGAGGTTGTGGAAACGAACCTGAACCTGGCTGCTGCACTTGGGGATTGTAGTATGAGCCTTGCCACCCTGGGTATGGCTGCTGCTGGGCATTAGGAGGTGGAGGGTATGGAGGAGCCTGCCCATTCGGTGTGTGGTAAGGAGGCCGTATCTGAGGGCCACCATAGACGGGGTTGCCATATCCCGGCCTTGAAGGTTGCTCAGGTGGCCTATAGTATGGGGGTTGTGGGTGATGATGAGAAGGGTTCTGATTTTCTGGTGGAGTTGGTGAACCAGAAGGAGGATGATGCACAGGTGGGTAGGAACTGCTGCTCCTCTGATCCTGAAAACTGAGACCAGCCATCTGTCTCTGCACATCTCCCATCATTTCCCGGCATTGGATGCTCCTTGTCATCACAAAATCGCTGCATTGCTGTTTCACATTCGTGATTGCATCCTGTTGACAGTAACAAAGACACATTTCAGATTGCTCGACAGCTTTTGATGTCCCAATAGAATGTCAGGACAAAAAATGAATCAATATCATGCCACTAGGACTAGCCAGTTAAGACAGTAACTCTGAGACTAACAAACAGAGTGATGAAGGTTTAGGGAAGACAACTTACCTGGAGAGTCACATAAAATTTCAAGCCCTCATTAATGTTCTCCTTGATCTCGCGATACTTGTCTATAGCAGCTTGAATCTGCTTGTAACATTTCTCTCTGGAAGCTGGAGAAGGGGGCAACAGGGTAAAAAATGAGTGACTCGAAGGAACTCGCACAGAAGCAAAAACAATGCCTTTTTCCGAAATTGGAAACCAGAAAGTTCTATGGGCGGTCTACACATCAACCAACAGACTCAACACTACAGCAAGCATTTCGATCCATCAGCTAAGTCAAGAACGCTTCAGCCATGCTAGATAGAAGCCACTTACCTTTATAGTCTTCGAGATTGAAAATAGCAGAGAATTCTTCATTTTGGGACTGTATAAAATAAGCCAAACAGGTTACAACGCACTCGGTGTATTTCAGCAACAGATAAACATGATGATTTCAATCCCAATTAGCAGCAAACACATTGAATCCCCTTGCATGTTCCTTAACATCATAATTGTTCATTCTTTGGATTCTCAATAAGGATAAACGCTGTACCCAAAAAAAAAAATACCAATACAAGGATAACCATAATTGATAGACCTGAATTTGCATCAACAGTTGTTCTTGTGTTTCGATGTTTTGGGAAATTTCTTCGCAGATGTGATCATACTTTGATATCTCCTTCCGGAACAGATCTTCGTAGGATCTGGTGGATGTCATCAGCTTTGGTAGTATGTCATCCTAATATATAAGTATAGCATATAAGCCTATAGCCATGTCTTTGAAGATGGATCATAGCACCGGAATTGGGCAATATACAAGATAGAGAATGATGAACAATCAAAAGAAGGATTTTACCTTTCTCTTCATCTCTTTGAGCATGTCTTCCAGACCTGCACGTTGAGCACCAAGATTTTCCAGCTGCCTCTGCACAAAAGGGCAGGAAAAACGTGAAAATGTTTTATCTCAATCAAAGTACTGTCCAATTCCTTTCTCATGACACGAATAACAACTAAACAAAACTTCAGTTCGACTATCTTAATGGGTCGAATTGGGATATGTTTAACACAAGTCTCTTTGAAAAGCATATATGCAACTTTTCAGAGAAGACAGAAAATACCAGACTCTGCTTCAGAGTTCCCACAGTAGTATCTTCTGTTGCATCTAGAGACATTATTGGCCTGGCCAGATTTGGAAGGGCAGACTCAATCTGAAAGTAGTAAATAACAAAGATACAACATAAGGATCACACCAAAACAGAGAGACATCAAACAGCAGTTTAAGCCTCATCAGAAAAAAATAGTAGCATATAAAATTAATAAAAAGTACCAACCGGTCGATGATCAAGAATTGACATGAGTGCAGAATTATCTCTCACGGACCGCTCAATCTTCACATCACTTTCTGCAGCTTGCTTTATATTGGCTGCAAACCGATTTAACCTATCCTGCAAGTTCTTTGTCAGCGTGCTAGATTGAGGCCTAGTCCACCGAGTCCCAAATTGGCTTCTGAACTGGGCGTCTTCTGTGCATTCTTTCTGCAAAAGCTCTTCAGTATGGATCAACAGCTCATGGTTTACCCTTCTCAAATCTCTAAGCTGTTGCAGTTCGGCTTCCAAGCCAGTAGGACCTCCACTAATCTGAACAGCTTCCACGTCATCTTTAAGATCAACACGGAGAGATAGGTGTCCATCCAGTGCAAGAATAGAATCTGGAAGATCCATCTCCTTGAGCCTTACTCGAGTTAGGTCACTAGCTTGTTGCAATCTCTCAGTCTGTGTCCTAATTACGTCATCAACCATCTCAGTGTATCTGGAGAGAGCTTTTGCACTGCTGTCTGGAACAAGATTCGTGAACATTTTCTCCTTGCTAGCATCCAATATGTCGCTCATGTCCATCGGCTTAACCATGGAAAAAGCGGGAAGTGGAGACAAAGAACTAGGAGAAGGTACTCTCATCAGGTAAACCCTGTCATTTTCCTTGACAGCCCTATCCAAATTACAATTAATGCTGGCCTCTAGCTTGTTGATGGCTTCTTGAAGCTGTGCAGGAGCACCTTTTGAAGATTTCTTCGCTTCTGCCAAACGACTGATACTGCTCCTCAGCCGTGCAATTTCTTCCGAAATTTCTTCTTTTTCATGCAACTCCAGTCCATACCTATAACAAGCTTCCCCATGAAAGAGAGCTGCTTTGAGCTGCACATGAGATATCCAACCCTTCTCGAAATGATCCTTCAGTGGGGAAGCATATAATGCAGCCAAAGCTTCCTCATAGTATAACCCAACCTGGTAGCACACAAACAAGAGCAGCAACCTCAGTTATTCCTCAAAGTTCAGCAAAACACATAACCTAAACTAAGCCATTTGGTTAGAAAACTAGCTTTCAAACAGCTCATGATCGAGCCCCGTGTCTGCAGGATGTACAAAATCTATTCCTAATATCATCAGTCCATAAATGCACTCAAATTGCAAGATCTGCAAGCAAGGCATGGAGGGAAAAAAAGGGAAAACCCATGATCAAAACACCAACCTGCCTAGAAATTTTAGCACAAACACCAGGGGTGCTCCCTTTGGCGATGGTATTCTCAAAGACGCATTCCTGGGCCTGCGCCAACATCAGCCGTTCCAGCATACCCACGCATTCCACGGACACGTCGACAGAGGTGCTCTGACCAATCGACGCTTTTGTGGACTCATTGTCCCTCAAAAACGCAAAGGTACCAGCGGCTGCGATGAACGCGTGGGAAGCCTGGCGGCGTCCATCGATGGTGGTGCGGTCGTAGCTCAGTCCGATCTGACTGTATATAGCTCCGAGATTGAACAGAACAGCGGCCTTCTCGAGATGAATGTTCTGCTGTGTGGCCTTCTGCTTGGGCTTAAAGGCATCGTACCAGATGAAGGAAACGGTGTTGACGTGATGTTTCTCGGGGGAGATGGGAAATCGTGTCTCCACCAGACATAGAGCTTTATAATAAGAGATGAGAAGGTCACGGCGAGCCGCCGGCGAGGGATCCTGCACGCGCTCGATGTCGGAGCGGAGCTGATTCAGAGTCTCGAGGTCGTCTTCTAGAAGCTGAGCCTCGCGCTCGGAGTAGGTGAAAGCGACGTAGTTACGGAGAGGACGGTAGAGGTCGACTGTGGTCGCCTTCTTCTCGTGAATGGCGAGCAACAGATTAGTTATCGATGATGATGAAGAAGATGCGGCCATGGTGGATGATCCGTTCCTTTGTATCGATCAAATCGACTCCAATTTGATTTCTATGCGAGTCTTCCTGCGATTCTTCTCTTTTTATTGACTAACGGGTCTGCGGGACGAGACGGGACGGTGTGTCGGCTCCAACTCACAAAACGGCACACAGTTCGAGATTGGACTCGTTTCTTTCTGTTTTTCCCCTTCTTTTCTTCTTTTCTTCGTGCGCGCGCGTGAACCGTTGAGAAACGGGACGCTCCTTGGATCCTTCTGGAAGCGACGACAACGAAAAAGACAAGCCTAGCCTTCGTCTTCTCAACGGAGGTGAGTTCGCTCTCTGAATCCACAGGCTGGTTACAGTTAAGATATGATCGAGTTGAGCCGTTGATATTTGCTCGCTTCTGTTTATGGATGGGTTTCTTAATTTTGCTTATGAGTCAGTACTGCAGCAAACGTCTCTAAAGCTTCGATTTTGGAAGCCATTCGGTCGTAATTTTGGCTTCTGAGTGTGCCCTCCAAAAGGGGAATTGGGAATTTTTCTGAATCTCTTCTTGCAGACCTGTGCTCTTCTTTCCAGGCGTTAGTCTTTTGCTCTTCCGGATAATACAGACCTCTCACTCGCATAAGGTAAGAAGTTTGATTCAGAGTAGTTCTTTTAGCCTTAGGAGAGTCTTGATTTTCTTTCAAGGCTGAATTAGCCCTTGATTGTTCCTTTCAAACTCAGAAGCCTCAGATTTCGTGATCTTGTTCAGCTGGCTCATCTGCATATGGTATCATCTTATATGAAGTTGAAAGGGCATTGTGATTCTTTGTATCGGGTATGGTTTTCTGAATTCTGCAGTAACTTTCTTGTGCTTTCTAGGTTTGTGCTGTAAGAACTAAGAACTTGATATGGGCTGTTGATGACTGGTGATAGAAGAACTGACATTGTTTTTTCTTCTATTTATGAGAGGTCCTATGTGTTATCCTCGTACCGAAATACAGATATTGAGCTGCTTATCCAGTTGGCGGAGGAGAAAAAAAGAGAATTCAGGAGAAGGAAGAATCTCCTTTGAAATGGGAGCAGAAGCTAGAGGCTGCAGTCAAGGCTAAAGCTGATGCTAAACCAAAAGAAAAGAAGTCAAAGGCTGCAAAACAGAAGCGAAAGCCTAATTCTGAATCAGCTTAGACAGTGATTTTGGTTTCACTGGAAGCATGCCCACTCTGATTCAGATGACAGTGGGCGGGAGAAAGAGAAGAAGTCCAGGAGACAGAAGAGAAGGTCCTCAAGTTTGAGTATGAAAGTGGATCTGGTAAAGAACGTGGAAGGAAGAAGCAGCCCCACAGATGGCATAGGCGGCACTGGTCTAGGTAAGATTCCAGGGATTCTGATTGTGGAAGTGATGATAACGAAGCGGATGTGAGAAAAAGGGTTGTAAAACGCCACAGATACAAACAACATTCAGCCTCCAGTGATTCAGACAACTAGAGGGTGTGAGGATAATGGGAGAGGTAGAAATAGTAATGGTGCGTGAAAGCATTGTGGGGGCAGAGTCCATTGCATCAGAGTCTTCAACTGAAGACGGACAGGTCAGAAGGAGAAGGCATCGCCACCATAGTTTTGACTCAGCATCTGAGTAAGTGTACGAGGGCGAAGCGCATGGTAGAAGAAGACAAATACCAAATGGTAAATTAGAGCATCACGACCCCAGATCAGTCTGGAAATTGAACGGGGAAAGCAGAAACAGATGATGTTTGATTATCAAAATAATCACTGTGAATAGAGGTGGTTCAATCCTTTTAGTGTTTGTTCCTCAACTTGATGACTTGGTGTTAGAAATTGAATTGATGGGTCCCTTTTCTTATTGATGTTAGCTCATGACGTGACATGCGTTATCAAGTCTAACCATGTGCTTTGGATTATACGCTTCCTCTTCAAACTTGAGATTTGAATTCGATTTGGATTATACGCTCTTTCTTCAAATTTGAGGTTTGAACTCGGGATGGAACAGATATTTTGCACTCCGTTTCACCGGTTGAACTATCAAAGATTGGGTGTGGCATGCATTCTTGTCAAATTCATTTGAACAACTTGTTTGATTTACATTAATCATAAACTAATAGCTAAGTGCGAGTTAATTTGTAGGAATTATGCTGCAGTAACTAAGACGTCAAGCTTCTATCGAACTATTATATTACATGCAAGACGGTGGCTGGCTTTAACAGTGTCCGAGTGTGTAATGATTCAACATTCTTCTCTAAAACGTACAACGATGCGTGTTTTTTTATAATTATTGTCGGGCCCTTAGTAGCAAAAGAATTGATCATCATGGCAGTACAACAGCCACTTCTCGCCAAAATCATACAACAATGTGCAAATATATCAGAAGTTTTTGAGTATCTTGTCGCTTGAAACTCCGTCTGCCACAAGAATCGATGTTATCTCCTGCAAAACACAAATTCCACCACCACGTTTGCACAAATAAAAATTAAGAGTCTGCATTCAAGCACAAAATTAATTACCACAAAAGGAAATGATTGCCGTTGTTGTTTAACTAACTAAATGTACAACTGAAGATACTGAACACCATCTCACGCTTCCCCAGTCAGATATCCTCGGGAGAAGCTAATCCTGATGTTCTGTAGTAACTACGCTATTTGCCTAATGTCGAGCTTCACATCCAAAGGCCATAGACAACAAGATCCCCACAACACAACCTTACCAAACAGACAGCTGGCTTACCTAACCATTTCTTCAAACATAAGACACAAATGGGATTGAATTCCTTCAGACATACCTCTGTCATTTGTCTCTGTCCACAGAGCACCACTCCAGTGGCTTGAGGACTAGAAAGTTGTTTGGCCCTTGCAAACGCAGCCTACAGAAAACAATCAAAACAAAGATATGATATGATATACAATTTAATCAACCTCAAGGTACAGGTGGTGGTTCTAAATGCAGGCCTTGCTCACCTGAACGTAGCCGGTTTCTCCTGCCCATCCATCTTCTGGCTGTGATAATACCGGCACAACTTTCATACCGCATGATTCCCAGTCTTTAAACCTATCCTACAAATCGATGTACTACATAGATATTTTACTCACACTAACAAAAAGCAATTTAAAAAAAAAAAAATCTAATAAGGCAACGTTAGAGAACTCTGCCCACCATCTAAACTCAATCCCCACTCTCCAAAAGGTACAAGAGTCCAATTATATTTATAAGAACAATGGAGCAAGTTTGTGATTAATCATGTGGCATGTTACAAAACAACTGAAAGAGGATCAAACCTGGTAAGCCATTCTTTTAAGGTTTCTAGCCCCATAATAGAGTCTTACATCAGATCTTCTTTCGGCACCAAATCCTGACTCAATTAGGGAACGAATTGGACTGCAAGTAATAACAAGATACGCATGAAAATCGCAATCCAAGAGGAACTGATAACTGAAGCCAGTTAAATGATCAAAGGGGCATAACATTACATTCCTATCAAATATCAACCATTCTTATAAACTCAACCTAATCTCGCAAACGCCTACAAAGCACAAAAACTTAACATAACTTTAGCTAGTTAATAGTACTACTACCAAACCTCTCCATGCAAAATGGAAACAAGAAAGGGGAGAAAATGAAATGAAAATAGATATGGAATCCGATCCTGACAAAGAGGCAGAACAACTTCAGTTCATACCATCTCATAAACCTTACTTTCAAATTTAAGTAGTTTCAGCATGTTCAATGAATGGTCCTATAAATAAAGCAAGTGTCAAACCACTGTACCTAATGAGGATGCTCCCATGAGAGTACTATACCATACTTTAAATTGAAAGGATGGGAAACAATCTCTGCAACTATTTCTTCTACAGGGAATTAAGAGAACGAAACACTTAAAGGCGTCACCTGATGCCAGATCCAGTGGCGAAAATCAAAACCGTGGGGTATTGGTGAGGAGGGTCGATCCAGTCGATGTCAAAACCGTTGCCCATGACAGGACTGAGCTCCACCGTCTCCCCTTTGTCCAAGCCGCATAGAATCTCGGCGGTGGATCCGGCGATGCTCTTCACGAGGAACTCAAAAGCACCACGAGCCGCGGCGAGGGAAGGCGGAGAGGCTATTGCCAGAAAAGAGGGTTTCTCGACATCGGGGACGCGGAGCTGCAGATACTGACCGGGTCGTATGTAGGACGCAACGAGATCGGGGGCGTCAGAGACATCGACAGTGATGTGGAAGAGCGATTCGGCGGCAGGTTCTACGACGGAGAGAGGGGCCGGCGTCCAGACGTTGGTGTCCTGACGAACGGCGGCAGCGGAGACGACGCGTCTCTTGGAAGGGAATCGCACTCGGAGATGGGGGGGGAGGGGGAGGCGGCGGAGGATAGACATGGGAGAGAGGAGGAGGCTGGGATGCGCATGGGGACGGGAGGTAAGGGTCGACATAATTATATGACACTCTTCACGCCTCAACAGAGACGGCGGTAGAAAAGGGCGGCCCGAAGACTCGGTGGCACGTGATCTCACGCGCCGCTGCTTTGGAAATTGAAGGGATATTGCCACGTGTGCAACTACCAAAGTGGAGGCCTTTGGACTCTTACCCACGAAATAAAGCTTTTACATACAAAGATCTGTGGCAGACAAGATTCACAATTGCTCACCAGCTTCACTGATGATAAGATTGCGCTTCTTGTCTCTTTTTGTGGGGCCTCATTCGTTTCATTTTTGTCTATTCGCCAAACAAAACACGATGGTCTCATCTCATGATCCTCTTATCTGCATTATTTATTTCACCAACACACCAAGAACAGAAGCAAGAGATGGGGGGAGTTCTTCTGATAGGCTACATCCCTTCTAATATATGGATTAGTAGCGCATTCAAATATTGCAAGGGGAAGTGGATTGCAGCATAATGTAGGAGCCCCCCTCTTTCAGCAAATTTAGCCTTCTGGGCACATCTGCAAGGTATTAGCCTTTGGATTGGGATATAAGAAGGTGTCAGTTCTACTCACTATCGTTATTGATCTAACAAGTAGGTAGGTTCAGGTCTGTCTTTATGTTTTCTTAAGTGCTCTCGAAGAGTCACTGCATACGTTTCTTGAGCGCTCTGAAAGAACATCTGAACTGGATGCATTTTGAACTCCATGTCAGTGAAGCAAGGCTGTTTCTTGTGCATCAGCAGAACATGCGAAGCAGGGCTGTTTCTGGTCCAAATTGTTTTGGAATCCAAATCAAATGACAATGCCAGAATGCCCAAGCTCCACCAATTCCTTTCAGGGAAACATTAAATTCCTTTAGAGAATATGAGCTTTTCTTATGGTCACTGGAATACAACGTGAATACTCTACAATCATAATGACCATTGTTCACGATCTACATAAGGACTTGGAGCTAGCAGTTTCCTCACCGACCAGTGAGCTTGACCATCCATGCGCCACCTAAGTAGAGTCCGAGAAGTGGGGTTGCTAGGAGTACCTGCGTGAGAGGGTCTGTTGATGGAGTGAGTATGGCGGCAGCAACAACCGCACCCACCACCACATATCTCCAAATTGACAGCATCTGGTCTCCTGTTACTAGGCCCACTTGTCCCAGGAGCAACTGAATTACTGGAACCTGTAAGCAAAAACAAGAAGGGAGACCCACTAAGAAAAGCAAGGACCATTCTCTCTCTTTCCCGGCAAAAACCTACCTTGAGGCACTACACATAGCAATAGCAGGATTCTTGGCTTTCATTAATGGAAGTGAGTGGACCACAAGCTTCATTAAGTAACTCATGAGAGACCGTTCAAACGCCAGGAGTAGCTAATGGCAATTTAAATCATGACAAGATTACCCCCAAAATCCATGTGATGATGGAGAAACAGATGTTTCAAAAGACTAAGAATTGTTGGAAAATTCTGTACCCAGTAGAAAGGAAGGATAATTACCTGGAAAGACAGGCCGGTGCTGAACATCAGCACTAGTACAAACTCAAAGTATTGGTCGATAGACCACAGAGATTCTACGACCCCTTCTGCATAGCTCACAAAGAAATTCAAGGCTGCAGGGGTTAAAACCCAGTAGGAAAACATAATCCCTGCATAAAACAACACCGAGGAACCAAATACAATTGGCCCCAGAAATCTCCTCTCAGCTCGCGTCAGGCCTGGAAGGACAAAAGCTATGATCTCATACAGAATGACTGGGCTCCCCAGCAGAAGTCCACAATAACCCGAGACCTGCAGTTCAAGCAACAAATAAATCATCGTTCTAGTTCGTTCAACCAGTAAAAGTGCATGGACAAGCATTAGAACCATTCATCTACTTCCAGTTAAACCAACCTTCAAAGTCGTGAAGAAAAACTCTCCGGGAGCCAGCTGTAAAAATCGGACACCTTGAGCTTTAACAGGAGCTTCAAGAAACAGAATTAGTTCTTTTGAGAACGCAAAGCATCCCAAGATTGCAGCTCCCACGGCCAAAACCGACACGAATATCCTCTGCCGGAGCTCCTCAAGATGGTCGAATATACTCATTTCTTTGTCATCAGGGAGCTCCTCCTTACTGGGATACAGAAACCCATACAGCGAGCTTGCTCGATCATCTTGCTCAAAGTTTTCAAATGGCTCCTCAGTAGATGCATCTGCCACACCTGTGTATTTCATCGTACAAACCCATCACCATTTGAACCCTCCACACTTGACATTTCTATCGTTAAAACGATCATCGAAGAACGGCGAACAAACTTGATAGATGATTCTACCAACAAAAAAAAACTTGATAGATGAAACCCCTAAACTTATCGCAGCTATCAAAAGCAGAAAAAACAGAAATTTGATTGAATTCGATGCATACGGAGACGTAGCTATTACCGGGTCTGTCTTGTACAACAGAGCTAACTGCACCACCTCCACCGGTAGGTGCAGTGCTCGTTTCCGGTGGTGAATCCCTGGAATCATCATCCATAGCTGCGAGATGGACCGGCCTGCCAAAACCTCTGTTCCTACTTCGCGTCGTATAGAATCGCAACCCAGCTCCCCGCCTCGAGCGCCCGAAATTTACGGCGTTCGGCCGGATTCTTGCCGAACTCAGATGTTCTAAAGTGCGACTTGTCAAGTGGAAATGGTGGATCAGAGCGGAACCCGTGTTCGTGCAGCCCATCCCCCTCCTCTCTCACTTCTCGATACGAGAACCCAAAAGGTCGAAACTTTTGTCTTGCGGAGGCTATGTTTCTAGAGCACAAGATCACCCGACACGACAGCGTCAGCGAACGAATGGCTCAGCTCGTGTTCCCCCTCTGATATTTCTCTGCACATTTTTAACATATAAAATGAACGTTATCTGATGTGCGCGCCGGCCCGATCTGTGCTTCAGACCCATGAAAGCCCATCAAGGCCCATAATAGACACCATAAAGGCTCTTCCTTCCGACATTTTCCCGCCACTCCCAATCCAGGAAGCGGCGGTTCCGATGGAAAAGGAGGAGCCGGCGGTGAAATCCCTAAATCTGATTCGTGGCAGACTCTGCAATCCTAGTTTTGTCTTCAGATCTCTTTCAGGTTCACCGGACGGCAACTATAGGTTCGATTAGTTGAACTCCGCCTGGTTCTCCTCGTGGGATTTGTCGTCACGTATTAATTCCTTTTGCCTTTTTTTCGTCGATTCGAATTCTCAGCAAGTTGAAGTTTATAATATCGAGCTCGGTCTCAGAGGGATGTAACAACACCATCTTGCTTCTGGGTCCTCGCGGTTCTGGAAAAGCTGCTGTATGTTGCTTTTTTTTCTTTCTTTTTCCTTTAATTCGTGTTCTACTTACTCGGCTCCCGTGCTTTCATTTCTTTGAGTTCGATGTGTCTTTTTTTTTAACTTATACCGGTATCAGGTATTTGATCTCGTTGTAGGTGATTTATTACAAGAATTTCCTGATTCAGTGTCCGTGGTATGGCTGATTTGAGTAGACTCCCGCATATATTTGGTTCCTAAATCCGTAGTATGATAGTGACAATAACATTTTCCATCTTATTTCTATGTGCTTACATGTTGCAGATCAGATTGAATGGACTCTTGCATAGTGATGACAATTGTGCATTCAAGGTATGATCCCTTGACTACTTTACCCTCTACTACCTGAGTGAGCATTTAGAATTTCTAACAAAGTTTATGATATATCGACGATTTGCTTGAAAGATTTAGCACAAGTTCAATCTAGTGTCTGAGGTTGATTAAACCTGTTCCAAACCTATGTTGCTTCATCCCCACAGCCAGGGTATATCGTCTGTCCTTAGTATGGATGATATTATTTCTTACAAGCAGCTCTTTTATTAATTCATTGACCATTCAGGAAATTGCCAGACAGTTATGTACGGAGCACCACTTGCTATTCTCAAAAATGGTACAGCACAGTATCATTCGTGCCTTATGTGTTGGTAATGCGTTTTCATTCTCGGGCCGATGTTTCAGTTGGGATAATTATGGGATGTGTTTTTTCAGGCGTCATTTGATGAGAATTTACAGTTCATGATAGCTATGCTGCGGTTAGTATATTAAACCCAACATGTAGAACCTTTTCACTGTCTTGAGTTGATATTCAACTCGATGCTGACACCTTGTATTCAGGGAATGTGGTCTAGCACATAAGACTATCATTTTTGTGCTTGATGAATTCGACATGTTTGCACAGGTAAGAATTCTTTTGTCTTCTTCATTCTATAGTTTCTCACTTTTTACATGGTATACTATTTTCATCATTTGACATGAAAAGGCTGCCCCATGGACATGGATGGGATGGCATTGGCAATGTTGTTTATGAACGCATCAATCGTTTATGAGCAAAGAAGTGGATACCTTTGCTTTTTTTTCCTTCAACTACTGATTTTGTGATCTGGTTATTCATAGGGTAAGCAGCGATTGCTTTACAGCTTGTTGGATGCTATGCAATCTGTAACATCACAAGCGGTTGTTGTCGGTATAAGTTCTCGCCTGGTATGCAATTGGAGACTCCTTTTTCTTTCTCTTTAGTTATATCAGAATGCAAATGCATGCGAAAGGTGTTTTACATTTGTTTCTTAGTCCTTCCTATTGTTCACATATGACTATAAATGACTTGTGGTAGTTGTGAACGTTATTGCGGTCCAAATTCTTCAATATGTGCAAATGTTCAACACAGGATGCCGACCAACTTCTGGAGAAAAGGGTGAGATCTCGCTTTTCTAACAGAAAGCTTTTGTTTCTTCCTCCATCTAAGGAAGAACTTGACAGGTAACTTGTTCTACTAGTCCCTGGGGCACTTCGATAAGTTCTAAACAAACAGCAAACTTTTTCCTCATACGAATTCGTTTTATTAATGTAACTCTCTTTGCAGCTTATTGGTACATCTGCTGTCTCTGCACACGGACTCAAGCTTTTCCAATGAATATGTTACTCAATTCAATGAGAGGATTAAAGTATCATTTCTGTACCCAATCAGTACTAAAACAAGTCTAGCATTTTATAAATCGCGATGTCCTGTTCAAAAGGACTGCTATATTACAGTAGATTAAGAAAACTGCATTTTGTGCAGAAAATAACTGCAGATGCAAGATTTAAAGATATACTGGAGACATTTTTTAATGCCAATTCTACTGTCAACAGCTTGCTGAAGCTTCTGTAAGTTTTTCCTCTGCCAGAGCGAGTTGTATTTTGTTAATGCCTCTATCTTCTCTCTGTTGAGAATATCTGTTGTTGATCCTAGGTTCAGTGCCGTTTCTTCGATGGATCTGAATTCCGGCTTGCTCTCCCTTGAGAATTTCAAAAGTGCACTTTCAATTATGCAAAGGCAGACGAAGTTGGAAGCTGTCAGAGGTATATGCACAATCAGATTTATTCTGATTCACTCAACGTTGTTTCAGGAATTCGTTTCTCCGAGCAGCCGATGTTATCAAGGTTACACTGTTCAAATTCGTCAGAAAACTGTAACTTTGATGAGCAGATTGTTCGGTGCTGGAACTCTATATTCTGGTATGCATGAAGAGATTAGAAGCTAAGGAGCAAAGCTCATACAATTTCAACTCAGTCATGAAAGGTAATTTAGGAAATATGTTAAGCACCATTCATTACACCGGGGTAAATCCAATTAACACTTGGAAAGGATTTTGGATTGCATTATATCTTCACCAGAGTACAAGGCTATACATGATTCTTTCCAAACTTCGGATTACTATGCGCGAACAGTCTGCCTACGGGTATGTGTGGAGTGCCTAGCTCTCCTGAACTGCCTTCAAATTCTTCAGGTTTTGACAATGGAATTTCTGACATGTGAGGGGTGCGGGTCTTGACCACAGGCATTTGAGCACCTCCTACAACGGGAACTAATCTGCTATGCAGACAACAGGGGGCAGGCTCAGACAGTTGAATATCGTCCTGCAAATCTTCTGATATCAGCCTTTGAGCTTCACCATGGAATGAGATCACATAAGTGTTGCCCTGTAAGTGATAAGTGAATTCTTTGTCATCTTTGGATGTTTCTCTCCTTTACTGATGTGTTGCGTGTGGCAGGCAATTCTTCTCAAGTTATTGGATCATCTTTGAAGAATCCAAATTTGCGTCTTGTGGCGTGCTCCTCACGCGCTCCCTTTTACAGCTTCCCCCTCTACTTGTATCTTACATTTCCTATGCCTCTGTTTTTTATATTTGATCTTGTAATTCTATCCGAGTTCTAAAAAAGAGTTTTTCTATCTATTGCAACGGAGAGACGCCGTCCATTTGAGCATTAGCATCTTGGATGTGAAACTAAAACAAAGTTTACACGTGGACGGTCGGGTATGAACTTTTCGGCTCTCGGTATGAGCCCAGTGTTTATGTTGGATTGTTAGCTTTCGTTCGTCAAGCCAACTTACTGGGCCCAGCAGTCTCCCCACGCGTGCTCGTCGCGTGTAATGTGCGTGGAGAAATGATCAGCTACTTACCCATATCATATCAGTAAGGCCATCTCTCTCTCTCTCTTTCATTCATTTTGGTCGCTTGAGTTTTTCGTCGGTAGATTAATATATATATATATATATACACACAATAGATACCGAAATCATTCGGTATAAGCTTAGGTACCACCAACACGCAAACAAACAAGAGGGAACGTTTTATAAAATTCGACAGAAAAAATTTTGGGCAGATAGATCGACAATACAATGGCGGGAGACTAAAAGAATTGATCGAAATCTGAAGATGCAACGGGAAAAAAAAATCGCTACCCCTAGAGAAAATTGCATTTACACGTTCGGAGAAAATCAACTAGTTCGTTATATACTTGGTTTAAAATAAAACCAAAGATCGCTCGCACCCCAAACCAAGAATGAAAATGGGAAATCAACGTCGCTTTCTGTCGAGAGTCGTGTGAATATTCCACGACCAAACAATCAGAAATGCCACAAGTCCAACTCCAACACATGCCCAAAAGGTCACCAACGTTACAGGCATCTGTTTTGGGTACAATCCTGCCATTTTAAAAAAAAAACATGAGCTCCTCACTATGCAATGGACTTTCTATATGGAAAACAACAGATACCACTTTCCTACCATGTCCAAATTTGATGCAGATGAGAAGTTCTACTATGCATATTGCCAGTGACAGCCAACAGAAAGCTCCAACCTTCTTCACAGGTTTCCTGACAAAAGGAAGTGATAAATAAGAGGCTCCTTCCAAAACCCACAGAACGCATGTAAGAAGGAAAAGCAACTTCGATATGTTAGAGAGAGAGAGAGAGAGACCATACCGGTCTTGGAGATATGAATTATATTCCCGGATTGTTGGTATTGCAATCAGCCACCATAATATCAGCCTATAGATAATCACTGGGTTTCCAGGGGGAATCCAAAGGCAAAACTTAAGAAAGAATGTGTTAAGCTCCACCGTCAAAAAGACAATGCAAAGACTGAGAACTTGAACAAAACGCCAAGGGCCCTGCAGCGGATGCCACTCATCTTTGTCCCAGTGGGCTGGTGTGAACTGCCCTAGTGTCCGTTTGACCTGGAAAAAAAATCAGATAATTGTATGCTTACTACGAGTCAGCTCGAATTTAACAAATCTTAGAATGATCAGGACTGAGATTCTATATCTACAATGTTCAGCAAGCGTACTTTGCCCATGATATTAGGTTGACGGCTTATACCAACCCACTCATATGTTTTTCCATCAAAATAACGTACAGTATGCATTCCTGACCAACCATGGATAAGGTATTTTTGGCTCCCGGGCATTTACGGAATTCTGAGCAGATAAAATTTCCATATCAGTAAGTAACCAGCCAAAAAGGAGGGTGTAAGTAGAATATCATTAATTTTAGCCAAACAACAGCTTTGAAGGGAACATACTGAATACAGAAGCACTTGGCCATCCTCCATGGTCTTCAGAGAAAATGACCTCTCAACCCACTTTCTCCCCTTCCTAAACTACCTTGTTGGATTTAATCTTTTTTGTTTCTTGGTATATATTTTTTTTATAATTCGAAAATTCATCGGACCACCTACACTTTGTTTGAATTCATGATGAGTATATTTTACATGTTATACTACCAATATATCATCCAAACTTGGGTGTTTTTGGGTACATGTTGGTAGCTCCAACTATATATCTAATTCCTGCCCAGATCCCTACAAACCCAAATAATATAAACAGTTCGTTATACATAGAATGCCTCACAACCACAAATAGGGGGAGGGAGACAGAGGAAAATGTGGCTTAAGAACCATACCAAACCAATTGCATATCAAAATATCAAGAACAATACTGTCCCACCAGCACTCGTTGAAATTTGGTAACATGTGCCGAAAGGTGAACTGGGGAATATGGATACTAAATCAGTCACCAACCTGGCATGAGAGCCTATTCACCAAATTTGAAACACAGAAAAATTAGAACATGGAGACAAGAGGCTAACCTCCAATAGCTCAAATCCAATCGAAAGTACCCAGAGAAGAGGCTGATTACGTATCAGAATAGCTTTTCCCCACCATCCAAAGATATGAGCCAACACAAACTCATCAAAAACTGTATCCTGGAAAATTTAACCAAATCAAAGTCTTCAGATGATAACATGGTTAAGCACAACATGAAAAGCCCAAGGTAAAACGTGAACCCAAAAATTCAAAATACAGAAGGGAAAAAAAAGTTGTTAAGAAGATACCATACATAGAGATTCTTAAACCTGTTTGTTGGATGATCAGGCACATAAATGCGGCAATCAGCACCATATGATCTTTCAGGAAGTTCTGCAATATGAGAAAACTCAATAGGAATAGTCAGTCATGAAAACATCAGTTGCTAGCTCTATTGGGATATATAGATTTGGATTCAGAAAGTATTACCGATTCCAAGGTCATGGTGGAGAAACTTCATGAATTGCCTGGCATCATCACGTTTCTGGGATAGACAAGTCCACAGCACAGCTATTACTGATTGTTCACTTACCATAGATATATGAATATTTCATGAAAATACAAGGATCAGCACAGACAATGGTGCTGAAAGAAAAGAGATACCGAACCTGAAAGAGCAAAAATGTAAGTGTGACCAGGTAAATAACAGCCATTCCATGAACTAAGCGCCAAATTGCAGGATGTGGCCGAATAAGAACCCTGCTTAGAAGCAAAGAAGAACCTCATAACAACACATAAGAATTATAACAAAGACAAACAGTACGAAGCAATAGAGAGAAGAGAAGATTATCAAAAAGACAAACTGAAAAGAAGAGCATTTACAATATGGGAACTCACGTTGAAGGGGCCTGGAGCAAGCAGTAGGCAAGAAAGACTGCAATCATAGCCCACACTCCCCTAGCAATACATTGTACAGTAAATGTCACTTGCTGAATCCATGACAAACAGAGCTTGAAACATAGAATACACTGAAGAGAAACACCTTTTGACAGATGTGACCAGATCATCAGATGTAGTGCTCTCAGGATCAAGAGCTCCACTTGCCCAACTAAAGAGACAGATAATCCAATAAAAGCAAAAAGGATTAATAACACAGAAGATAATCGCCCTGAAAGGGATTATACTGACAATCAGATAACTCACATCATGAAACATGCACCAATAAGTAACAGTGAGATGGTACGAGGCTTATAAGCCCATGCAGTCCATGGATCAAGATCATCCTCAAGTGTTGTTAACACATCACCACCATTTACTCGCCCGAAATGTTCCTTCCCCCTTTCTGGTCTCTTATGCCCATTTGGCTCCATGGCCTACCAGCTTTCCGTGTATGCCAAAAAGATTCGCCAATTAATCTGCGGAGATACATTAACGAATAACGACCTTGTGATTAATACTATCCCTCTAACACTAACATGCTTGGATTCCATAAACGAACGAGTTCGAAAAGACGAACTTATCAATCATCAACCCATATAACCTGATGAAACTGAGCAGATAAAACGAAAATGAAACGTTTTTTACTCAATTAGCACCAGCTCCAAGGTAAATCACGGCGAAACACCCAGATATGGACTGAACACAGACAGGACGTACGACGTACAGACAGAGAAGGGTATGTCTGCGGAAATATGCAAGCGCAGAAAAATAAAAACTTTCTTTTAAGGAACCGATAAGTAATTTTTTTTATAAAGAAAAAAGTGAAAATTTGAGATACCCTGAAACGGAGAACGAAGAAGGAGACATTATTCGGCTCCATTTAGGAGTAAAGAGAATAAAACACACCTTAAGGAGATGCAGAAGAACCCTAGGCAAAGGAATCGGCGAGAATCGGGTAATAGACTGATGAGAACGCGGGGATATTCGAACGTACAGATCACAGTGGCATAGAATTAGATGCAAAGAGCAAGAGACAGAGAGGAGAAGGAGCGAAATCAGAGTAGAGGGGACGAGAATGGGAGCAGGGTATGTTATTCGGAAAGGGTGTCTCTCAAAAAAATCTTTTTATGGTTTTGGTGGGGAGGGAGAGAGAGGGTGGACGGTCAAAGTGGAGGAGATAGGGAGATGTCCATAGATATGCTCTACACGATGACGCAGCCTTTGCTAATTCCTAATTGCCCCCCCCCCCCCCTAAACCCACTTTCTCACATTCCTAAACTACCTTGTTGGATTTAATCTTTTTTGTTTCTTGGTATATATTTTTTTTATAATTCGAAAATTCATCGGACCACCTACACTTTGTTTGAATTCATGATGAGTATATTTTACATGTTATACTACCAATATATCATCCAAACTTGGGTGTTTTTGGGTACATGTTGGTAGCTCCAACTATATATCTAATTAGTCTATCCATAACGCAACATACATTCATGTAACTCGCACCTCCATCACAGTTATCTTCCGATGTTATCGCAGCCAAGCAGATTTCCCGATCTAGCAATGTAACAATGATGTAGAGTAATCCTTCAAATGATTGTTAACAGCTCAGTCAAATTTATATAAATGTCCATTTTCCCCGGACAAAAATTCTCAAAGTACAAAACCCTAATCAATACAGAAAGTAGTTTTTAAGGAGAAAAAGAAAAGACAGAGAATGGTAAGTCAAAATAGCATTTATATTTTCGGAGTTCATCTCCGTCATCCAATTTCTTTTTTCCATGTCATACAAATTTATATCGATTTTGTACCTTTAATCCGTGAAGATGGTCCCAACAAATTCAATGTAAATGTGGGAGTAAACGTAATGTTGCAATATAAGATATGAAGTACGTACACATGATTTTGAATTTAAGATCATACGGATTAATATTTATATCTTATGCGAATAAAATAAAAAGCATAAGTCAGGAAAATGCGAAAGTGAGTTTCGAATAGAAACAATAAAACAGCTCAGCTCAAAAGACAAGAGAAAAACAATGCAGATAGAAACAACAGTTGTCACAATTATATTTATATATATATATATATAAAAAAAAAAGATACAGCCCATCACGTATATGCAAAACTACATGACTGTGTATTTAGCGTATAACATGTAAGCGTATTTCATGATCAAACCAAGTTAAGTGTGGCGACGTGTTTTTGGCATTTGTACGGGTACGTTTCCGAATTCCAAACAAATCCTAACAACGTGTTTAATTTCCATGAAAAGTCAATAACCAACTTAAAAAAAAACACACATTACGGTTTCAAAGAGGAACATGTCTAAAGGTATTGATACTTATATCTCATGGGAAAAAAAATATAGACTTAATTAATTACAAACAAATTTATGGGATCATATTGGCAAGAATAAAAAAGAATAAATAGATTGGGTTGGGTCGAATCAATAACAATAATGATTTGGATTAGATCGATCTATTAATTTGTTTAAACTGTTTGAAGATTTTAAAAAAATCTACAATCCTATTTTATTATTATTAAAGAAATAAAATCAAATTTAAAAGGGGTTGAGAAAAAGTGCGTCTGAAATAATGATTAGAGTCAAATGATTTAATGAGAAGGGATTGGGAGCATCATTGCAAATTAAAGTGCGTTTAAAATAATGATCATGCTCGTAATCATTGAGGAGGAGATGATTATGCATAATAAATTCAGTCACATAATTATTCATATATACATATATATATATATAATCAGCATATTCCAAAAATAATAATATCATGATTAAGAATAAATGTGATGGCATATGTACTTAATTAGTCTCACCTAATTATCATTATATAAAAAATAACCTCTATATACTATTTTGACTTCAATCTATACTTTTTTTTATCTGTGACCATACGACTAGGTGATCACATTGATCATAACGTTAAATTTATCATAGTTTTTTCACATAATTATTATGATATATAAGGAGTGAACATGATGAATTAGTGTGGTCATCATAAATTTAACGTTATAGTCAATGTAACGTGACTAAACTGTAATTCTGGTAACATGGTTACAATTAGAGAAATGAATGAGTTGAAGTCAATATATATAACATTAACATACAGAGGATATTTGTTATAATGGTCCTACCTAATTATACAATTTAAATATTTTAATTTTATTATCATATTTTCTAATAAAATTATCTTGTCCTACTGACTTAAAAGATAAAATATTAATATATTTTTGGCATTAATATAACCTAAATATAAATCAATTTTCAATGTTTAAAAAATGTCCATGCAAAAGTTAGACGATAAATAGAAACTTATGTTTATAAAAATTGGATTAGTAGTGGTTACACATTGGAAATTTACAGTTCATTACGTGAGCTAATATATAGAGTTGTTATTGTTCGCGATTAAGTTAAAACTAAGTCTAAACACATACAAATGGAGCTGAAAACAAACACACACATGCAAAGTAGGATAAGAAAATAAAAAATATATATTGTGATAATATTACTATATCATGAGGAGGATGAAGATTCACATTTATTATTTATGTATAATTGAGTTTAGAGATTATTATGCTAATATTACCACATTAATTCTATTTTTTTTCAACACACCATCTATTTTTTAATAAAGCACCTGATTTTAAATTATTTTTTTAAAAACATAAATTTTTAAAAGTTAGCCAAAACCCACTATTATGATATAGGGAGCTGCTAGCTTTTAACAAAAAATCACACTTTTTTTTTTATCAATTCATAAACAATTTATATTTTATCAATGAAACATTAGTGGCTAAGATATTGTTACAATAGCTAGATATAACTAAATAATGACCCAATTTGACGAATGAATAATGTTTGGATTTATTGAATAATCTTGTGAGGATAATTGCACCTTAGAATTAAATGTCCAAATTTGGGTGCCAAAACAAAATTTGTGGCGGACAAATGACCCTTTTTTAGAGAAGGGCGTCTATTATTATTATTTTTTTGTCTACCTTTATGCTTCTCCTTGAATATATATACACGTGCGTGTGCGTGTGCGTGTGCGTGTGCGTGTGCGTGTGCGTGTGCGTGTGCGTGTGCGTGGTATAAGGATGATGGAGTAGCCAACCTCCAGACATCAAAACTCACACAGCTCATGGGTTTGATGGAGCAACGGATCTTTGTTTTTGTCTCGTAACGAAATGTGAGAAAGAGAAAGAGAGGTCTATATCCACATACCATATGAGAGGACAACCTCAACAGTTTGTCTCTTGTGTAATTAATTCCTCATGTAAGGAAAAAAAAAACAGAAGCAAAGTTTGTCTCAAAAATTGACATTTAAATAAGTAAATAAAAAGAACTCAAGACTTAAATTAACAAGACACACACAAGGTAACTGAGGGCGAGGTAAGATGGGATGCCCCCCCCCCCAAACAAACAACAAAACATTTGTTTACGTCATGTTTCACCTTTCGTCTTAACGTTTTTTGTTTGAACGACCTTTGGAACCTTGCCTCATGGAATCTACCAACAAACAACCATTCCTCCATTCCAATGAATTATTATGCTGTTAATGGAAACCACACATGCATCACCATACTCATGGATCCATTTGAATTCTCTACAAGCAATGCATGTCTAAGGTTATCAAGTTATTTACTTCCTTGCCCCCCTCTTCATATAAACCGAACAAAACAGAAAGAAAATGGTTCGATACACACATATAGGGATGTGTGTGTATATACATATATACATATATATATATATATATGATATGACAATAAATGTACATATCCAGAGACAGAGAACAGGAGCTTTTAACCCCTGAAGTCATCTCCAGACAAATACACAGTTCACACTAATCAAAGGGTTATCTTCTGCGAGTAACGGGACTGTGTCCTAACCCTAACTAAACCAAAAGCCATCTTAGTATATCTTCATCAAACTGATAGCTACAAGCCCTCACCAAATCCAGCCTTGCCAAAAAGGAATTTGAAACGTCAAGAACAAGCCATCTTAGTATATCTTCATCAAACTGATATATACAATAATATATATACTAGATACCGTACGCATAACACCATCACAGATTTATCAGCATACCTCCAGAAGATAGTGCCAGTATGCTCCTGCAGTTCCCACAGCATTGATGTATAATACAGAGGCGGAAATGAGTGCTATTGAACCAATCAACTGGCCTTATTTTTCTGCACCGTTCCCTTCTCACTGTCCTGAATGTAAGCAGCCATATGGATGCACGCTGGTAGAGTCATAAAACTAGCTTTGAGTCCTTTGCTGTTCTCCAAGAAAAAATACTTTCCATTTCAGCTTGCGGGGAAGGAATGGATTTGTGGCCCTCAAAAAGCTTAACAAACAGACGGGTAAAACTGTGGATCTGCCATTTACAGCCATTTTCCTACACCTTCTAAGAGGAACTCGTCTAGGCAAAGCAATTAATTGTGGTCCTTCTTGCTTTTCTTCAATAATGTTGACACGTAATCGATGTGTTCCTGGCCTTGTTGAGCACCACCCATGAGCCATTGCAGAGCTTCGGCTGCAGCATCTTTTTCAGCACTCTTTTTGTTGGTGCAAGGTTGCCCCATGATTTGCATCCCATTAAACTCCACAGCTGCTTGGAACTGGTTGTTCTTTAACTGTTTAGTTTTATATATAGGTGCTGTATAGCCTGCCCTAGTAAGTAGAGTTTGGAGCTGGCTCTTGGAATTATCACCCCCAGGACCACTTTCAGTCCTCGAAACCAACGACGGTTGTGTTGGAGTTACGGGTGTTCTCAAAGGCCTGACTACTTGGTGACCAAAGACAAATCTTCCATCACATTGATCCTCGCATATCAACAACCGTAACGCTGATACCAGATCACAGTGTGCTTGCATGTCCATTCTAGGATTCAACAACTGCAAATTATGAAGAAGCATGTATGATTCAGCTGTTGATCTTTTACCAATACTCCGAAAAACCTGAGATATAAGTGGTTCCTGATAAAATTAGAACAGGGAGCAGCTTTGATAAAAAGATGAAACTTACTTTGCTCTGTATAAGCTCATCAAGCTCTTTCTTCAAGCTCAAGTATATTTCTGCAACAGCAGGTTTCATGAAGAACTCCAAGTATCCTCCCAACATTTTCAGGTGGCCATCCTGCCAAAACAAGAGCTTAGTCCAAAAGTTGCCACAGGAATGAACCAGTCCCGACAACGAAAAACATAACTAGAAGCAAGCAAGAATGATAGATGAAAAAAACTCACACTGTCTCCTTTTGAGATGCAGCCACCAAAGAGGAGAAGCACAGAATCAGGTACAGCTGTCGAATCCCTCAGGAAAACTGAATTTACTTTAATCTTCTCATTGAAAACCAACCATGGATAAGGTATTTTTGGCTCCCGGGCATTTACGGAATTCTGAGCAGATAAAATTTCCATATCAGTAAGTAACCAGCCAAAAAGGAGGGTGTAAGTAGAATATCATTAATTTTAGCCAAACAACAGCTTTGAAGGGAACATACTGAATACAGAAGCACTTGGCCATCCTCCATGGTCTTCAGAGAAAATGACCTCTCACTATGCTGTGTATGAATCATGTAAATGCTTGATAAAATAGAAGTTTGACCTTATCGCAAGTAGCAATCAAGTAATCATACCACCAAAATGATGATAATGAAAAAATGCCAGCAGCAGAAATTAAAAAGAGACACGGAGCACTCACCACAACCGAGCAGATGCCTGGATACAATCCATAGCAAACAACTGCTCGGATAAGATTTTCATCCTTGCCCCACAAATTACAGGTTGATGTGTTTCCATCCAGGAGTCCACTATCCTTGAGCAATGAGAAGAACTCTTTTCGAAGACAATCGATAGCCCTCATAGATTGTAATGAGAGAAAATTTTTCCAACAATAATCATAACCCGCGAAGTCCTTCTCAGCATCTTTCCACCCTTCATATGCCCGAACAAGTGCAAGATGATCGCTGTAATCACGTGAAAAATGGGATTTCGCAACTTCTGCCAGCTGGAAAAGTTTAGAAAAATAATCATATTTGTTCACCCTTACAGGATCAATAAGCTTTTGCAACACATGTAAAACCCTCTGAATTCAAGTCTGCATCTCTGCCTATGGCTAAAACTACTTCCATTCAGTATCTTTTATTTTGATATAAAATAGGAAAAAGATAAAGAAACCATTTCCATCGAAGATAGTAAGACCACCGAAAAGATTATGAACAGTTTTATTGTGTGTAGCTCAATGCAATAGACAGATCATAGCTTAAGTTTTCCTGATTGTCCAGCCAGATGCATGATACGCAAAAACTGATATCTAATAAAACAGAATGGGGGATCATATGTCAACAAGAGACCTTTAAATCATATTTGTGGAAGAAAGAGTTAAGCAAATAGTCGACAACTTTATCTATTTACACAGGAGGGGAGAATTACTTACATCCTTCTTATCCAAAGGTGTCAAGAAAGGATCTCTCACACTCAGACCAGCAGCAATAGTCAAAACTGAATCAAGGCAACCAAGAAAAGCCCCTAATATGAGCATTTTTCCAAGCTTTGGCTCCATGGGAAGTTTGGACAAATAATGACCTACCAGGCAAATTAAGCATATGAGATAAATGGAGTCCCACTACTTCAAATCCTTATGATTCAAGTTAAACATAACATGTTTCCTAATACCTAGAGTAGTGAGATTTTCATTCTCATCTAACGCACCGATAATCTTCAAATATTCGATAGCATTTTGAACCTGTAAGCAAAGCCTACGCGATCAGACATGAAGCAAAGGACAAAAGATAGGACTCAAAACATTAAGAATGCATTGATTACAACAAGCAGGGTCGAAACAGAAAGATCTTTCTCTGGCAGAATTCTATATGAGAGGATAGATATACGCGAAGAAATAGATGAAAAAGCTTATACCGCTAGCAGTTCTGGAGATTGCAGTGCCCTGGATAAGAACTCAGATATGCTTCCAAGATTTAAACTTTTTATTTGCAGACACAGGGACTGCAAGGGCGTCCTCAAAATTTCAGGCAACTGATATTCAGCAAAAGCATCATATACACACTTCGGGTAAAGATGATAACACTCTCCAGATTGTACACGTCCAGCTCTTCCTCTTCTCTGCAATTCAATGAACAAAGGAAACTTCTGTCAAATTCAGGAAATCACTACACACCAAGCCTTCAGAACAGCCAGAGAATCATGATTGTTAGCTACTGAAGTGAATGCTCGAATCAAATATGCAAATTTATCATGCAAGCCATTAGCATGAACCCTTTTTGTCATTGTTTCAGCATTTTTGTTTACTATAAAACTGATTTATGTCTGACCAGTCATGTTATGATCAATGATCGTTTCTTCCTCAAATTAATAATTTAATAGCATCTGATTTTGGTTTGATTCTCCATCAATTCAATTCTGAAAGTGGTAGCATTACCTGCTGGGCTGAAACTTTAGAAATCCACGAAGGAAGCAAACAGGGAGTGTTATTTAATGCATCGTAGGATGTCTCTTTTGCCTTTCCGCAGTCAATAACAAAAGCAATATCATTAATTGTGATGCTCGTCTCCGCGATATTAGTAGCTAACACTATTTTTCTTACTCCACTTGCAGGTTCTTCAAATATTAAGCTCTGCAGCAGGTCAAAATAAAATATGTGATCAATGAAAAATATATTCCATCAAGAGAAAAGGAGGATAGTAACAGCTCAAGAGTTGATAAACTTGAGGTTCTTATCTTTTGACACACAGGCAAATAGAATAATATTGACTGGAAGGTCAGTATTTCTTGTTTTCAGTTAATATTTTTGCCCATGAATATGCAATGAGGAACCATCGACATCGAGAGAAGACTATAACCACCTGCTCAGAACTTGCCATAGAACCATGGCAGGCAAGCAACAAAACCAGATTTGGATTGCTCAAGATCGGATGAGTCTGAAGCTTTTCTTTCAGAGAGCTGATGTCATCCCACCCAGTCATAAAAACTAGAATACCACCAGGCCTCTCATTCTCACATATATGGCAGAGAAGGAACTCTATGAGATTAAAGCCCATACAGTCCGGATTCCAAGCGGATAAAGACTCTCGAGTCTCAGGTCTAAACTCCTTGAAGTTGGCCGCTCTCAGTGCGTCCTGCTTAAATATTCAGAAAATGAAAACAAAATAACAACCTGAAACATACAAAAGTTCATGTATCACACCTCGACAACAGAAGCAATTTGGCTCTTCCGTCTTCTTGGCGTCTGTTTGCTCATCTTCCACATTCTTTCTTGACCATAATCATCAATTTGATTGTACGGAGTCAATCTGTACCCAGTCATCTCTAGAACATCTTCCAGGTAATGGCTACGGACAGGATACATAAATCCCTATAATGAACAAACAAATGAAAGAAGAATAATCGATCATCCAATGGAAACACCAGTGGCATTAAACAAAGGAAATAAACCATCTGACGTTTGGGTCAGCAGAAGGTTAGAAATAATTTATAATGTCCCAAGCAAGGGCTCAATACATAAATAATCACTTTTGTCCAAGCATCTTCCATATATCTAAAATAGCTCAGCTCCGACTAGCATATCACATTTCATACTTACTGGAATGTGGATTACTCGTGCCCCGCCAAAGTAAGATGAGAAAAGCTCTGCGTCTAAAGTTGCACTCATCAGAATCAACTTGATCTCTGGCCGACGAGGAAGGAGATCTCTAAGAATGATAAGCAGAAAATCTGGAATCCAAATTATCAAAGTAAGAAACCAAATGCAAAATAAGCTCAGAACTAAGATTTTGACAATAAGACCAGTTTACCTTCATTCATTCCCCGCTCGTGAATTTCATCAACAATAACATAACTAATGCCTTTCAAGTTTCTATCTACCAACAACTTTCTCAACAAAATGCCTGTGGTGCAAAAGAGTAGGCGAGTATCTCTTCCTTTCATGCCTTCCAATCGTACTTTGTATCCCACCTTGAAGTAAAGACGCAAAAGAGCAAGAAACCTTAAAAGAGTGATGATTCTCAAGTATAACGCTCTTAAGCAATGACTATCTAGAATGGGATTGGGTGAACTCACAGATTCGCCCAACTTCTCTCCTCTCTCATAAGCAACCCTCTCCGAGACGGACATCGCTGATATTCTCCTTGGCTGCGTACAAATGATACTGCAAACAGCTCCACGGTTTGCTTCAATTTCGGATTCTAAAATAAATTGAGGAATTTGTGTAGTCTTGCCACAACCAGTTTCACCAGAGATTACAATCACCTATAAAGCGACAGTTCTGTGGGTTAACCGAAAAATACAGAAATAAGAAAGAAATCGCATCTTTCTACTTGACACAGATGCCACACAGCTGGGTACAAATTTATCTGAGTCTCTAAGTTTTTGCACAACGGACCTGATTTTGTGAAATCGCTGCCAATATTGAATCCCTGTCCTTGAAAGCGGGAAGACTTCTGCGAAATTTTAATATTCTCCTGCCTTCTGAGGATTCCTATTGATGGCCTCATGACAAAAACAAGCATAAGAAAGCAGAAGCGTGTAGAGGAACTGGGGAAGCAGGATCAAAGGAACCATATCTAATCAAAAGGTGAGGATGGAGGGGACAACCTGCCAGGATTGTTGTCGATCTCGAAGCTGCGAACTCCTTCGCCAAAGAACCTTGTCCATCATTGTCTTGCTGGCCGGCAGGGGCTCAGGTTGCTCAAGAAGCCCTTCATCAGTAGCAAGACTCACGGTGCTACTAGTTCTTGAGAAGGAATTGTCAGGGAATCTGTCCATCCCGTTTGATTTTTTATTGAAGTATTCCCTGAGGTACGCTTCAACACTTCTAACAAGGCCCATGTGTACGTTCACCTGTCAATTCTTAATACTGTTTCATGACATTGCGCAAGAAGATGAGGTACATGAATCCAAGATGGAGTCGGCATGTTACCTCCCTCTGCGGCCTCTTATCATCCAGATCGAACCTATAATTGGGGAGTGGGACCTTACTGAACACAACAACCTTGGCATATGAACGACTACAAAAGAGGGTTATGCATCAGAATCCCAATCCCCCGCACACTGAATATTCGACTAATGGGTGCAACGATACCTATACAATCCCATTCTGGTAGCCAATGCAGCAAGTTTGTCGAAATCCCTTCGATCCTTCTTCTCCCTAGAGATCACCTCTTGTGTCTGGGCATCACACAAAAGCGTAGAGAACTTTCTTTTCCACTCATCGATGTTGGCACAAGGAAATGCACCCTGCAGGAGTGAAACCAAACAATGGAGATGAGAGATTAGGAGCCTGAAGAGGGTTCAAGAGGAACACAGTTGAAAGCTTTAGTGAATCTCGAGGTAACCGATATATGGGAGGTAGAAAAGCAGAGAGAGGGAGGAGAACAGTTGGGCATAAAATCAAAACAAAAGCACGGAACAAATCAGGAAAAATTCACAATCAACATGGGAGGAGAATCGAAGGAGGTACCGAGTCGCGATCTTCGTCAGAGCGGTAGAGGCGTGGCGGAGACATGGAAGGAAAGACGGCAGAAGGAACGGTGACGACGGAGCGAAGGCGGTGGTGAGGAGGGACGTAGACGGAGGAAGGAGGAGGATCCTTCATCGGAGCAGAGACTGGGGAGGGTTTTAGGGTTTTTGGGGGAGGAGGAGAAGGAGAGAAGAGGAGAAGAGAAGAGAGCATACAAAGCAAAGCCGTCGTTTCGGCCGAAGACAACTCCGGACTCCGTCGATGTGTTTGTGCTCAAAGATTTTAGATGATATCTTTGGGTAGAATTGGGTTTTGGGTTGCGAAGACGTAAGATATATGATGATGAATGCAAGGCCGTTGGATCCACTGTTGACTTCTTAGAATGAGGGACAAAAATCAATAATCAAATACCGTTTGGTTGTTAACGGAACAAGAACTGCGAGGTATTAAAAATCACATTGTGGGCAAATTTAACAAGAAGAGCTTCAAAATCCCAACCCAAAAAAAGGAGCAGAGCACATTTTCCCATATCGTTGTGAATATTTCTCCATCCCCAAGTAAAAACATCAAATTTAAAACAAAACAGAGACAAAGGCAAGGTTGCAACAACATTATTCGGACTCCGTCCATAGGAACACAGTATTATAAGGGTTGTCAGTAGGTGTAGCCTTTGACGAACATTCCTTTCTTGGCATCGTCAGTCTCTCCCTCACCAGAGTACTTACCCAGCTGCGCTAGTGAGTTTGCTTTTGCCCTCACCAGCAATGCCTTCTGGGCTACCTCCTCGTTCTCTGCCCGTCCTTGCCATGTCTTCAGCACCGTGTTCTGAAGTGCTCGCGCATACGAAAATGACACATGCCATGGGTTTGGCCCCTGGTTCATCGCGTTTAGGTTAAGCGTTGCCTCCATTTCTGATTGCCCTCCAGACAGAAACTGACAAGACACCACACCACACCTAGGTCATTCAACTGGTTGTTTCACCAAACAATTCAAAATAAAAGGCTTCAGGTTTCTGTACCATGATTCCAGGGACGGCAGGAGGCACTCTCCTTCTGAGCATGGTGAGTGTGAACTTTGCAATAGTCTCAGGTGAAGCCTTCTGCTTGTGTTCTGCACCCGGGGTCACCATGCTCGGCTTCAGTAAAATCCCCTCGAACATGACATTGTTCTCTGCCAAGTAATAGAAGACTTCTGACCACACTTTCTCTGCCACTTCAAGTGTCCTCTCAATTGGGTGATCCCCGTCCAGAAGGATTTCCGGCTCCACTATGGGTACAAGGCCATTGTCCTGCTCAACAATCCAAGTCATACAGAAATGGCATACGCATAAAGAAAGACAGATATGCGTGTATATGGCACATGCCGATGATTTCAGCTTGAACTTTTGTAGTTCAACAAACTCGGGACGTCCTAATATGATATATGATGCAAAGAAACGGTAAAGAAACCAGAAGGAACAGATTCATCGAGCAACTCAGTGTGTTTAGTGTGAGATCGCATCAACCAAAAGAAAATTACTGGGGTGCCAAGTCATGTAGAAAGTTGTAAAGAGGCAGGTGATGACATACCTGAGAAATGGCTGCGTAACGTGCAAGACCCCAAGCAGCTTCCTTGACAGCCAGCGCGGAAGGACCACAGGGAATGCTGACGACCGTTCTCCTGGACAAGGGAATATAAAACCATGCAATTGAAGCAACAAATCAGAAACATCAAGGAAAGGACTGTGGCAGAGAAGAGCAAGATGACTGACCACTTGGCAAAACGTGCGCCTTGCTTGTAGTATTCAGCCGACCTTGATGCCAATCCATCCAACCCTTGGCACCAAGACTCATTGTTTGACCCAGGAAGGGGAGAGAGACCCTGCAACACACACAAAAAAAAAAGATATAGAGATGCAGAGTGGGCTTCTTGAGCAGCAAAGAAGAAGAAGAAGAAGGAAAGGAGTACCTTGTCGACTTTGATGCCAGGCACGATGTTCTGATCACGCAAACAATCTACGAACTTCTTGCCATCTTTAGTAGCCTGGTAAAGAGTCTCCTCGAAGAGAATGGCACCAGAGATGAATTCACCGAGGCCTGGGGTGGTGAGCAAAAGCTGTCGGTAGGCTTGACGATTGGCCTCCGTATTCTCCAATCCTATGGATGCTAATCTCTTCCCGCAAGTCGCATTCGACTCGTCGATAGCCAGGATACCTCGCCCAGGGGAAGCAATCGTTTTCTTAATCACCCAAAAAGAAATCAAAGAGGTTGAAGTCAAGGCATGAAACCCCAGAGACATGGAAACAAATTATGACAGGGAAAGCCATTCCGATCAGAGAGTTACAGGCCAAATTCCACCAAAAAAAGGAATCAAATGCAGGAAATCGAACAGGATGAAGCATGGAATAGAGAAAGAAATGGGAGAGGAGAAGGGATCCAGCGACTGACGGCAGTTTTGACGAGCTCATCGGTGTAAGCGGAGGCGCGGATCGCGAAGGAGACACGGGGAGGAGAAGAAGCAGGGCGCTGAGCGACGGAGCGTTGGCCGATCCAAGGAGAAGAAAGAGTG